GTTATTCGATACAGTAATAGAAATGTTAGCTTTAGCAACAAAAGAAGAAAAAGAAATTGAAGAAATTAGAATAGACAAAGAAGAAACAAAGCTATCACTCTTTGCAGATGACATGATGATATACTTTGAGAATCCTAGAGAATTAAGTAAAAAACTATTTGAAATAATAAACAACTTTAGCAAAGTTGCAGGATATAAAATAAACCAACATAAGTCATTGGCATTTCTGTATATTAAGCTAACTGAAGAAAACAATTCACTAAAAATTAGAATTGGGCAATTGGAAGTTAGTGACTCTATGAGACATCAAAAATCAGTAAAACAAAATCAAAAGAATGAAAAAATTGAAGAAAATGTAAAATTCCTCATTGGAAAAACAACTGACCTGGAAAATAGATCCAGGAGAGATAATTTAAGAATTATTGGTCTATCTGAAAGCCATAATGAAAAAAAAAGAACCTGGACAGCATCTTCCAAGAAATGATCAAGGAAAACTGCCCTGGGGTTGTAGAACCAGAGGGTAAAATAGTCATCAAAAGAATCCCCCTATCACCTCCTGAAAGAGGTCCTAAATTGAAAATGCCAAGGAATATTATAGCCAAATTCCAGAATTATCAGGTCGAGGGGAAAATAGTGCAAGTAACCAGAAAGAAACAATTCAAATATCATGGAACAGTCAGGATTACACAGGACCTTGCAGCTTCTACATTAAAAGATCAGAGGACCTGGAATATGATTTTCCAGAAGGCAAAGGAGCTTGGATTACAACCAAGGTCAACTATCTAGCAAAATTGAGCATAATCTAGGGGACTTCCAGACCTTCCTGATGAAAATACCAGAGCTCAATGGAAAATTTGCTCTTCAAATATAAGACTCAAGAGAGGCATAAAAAGGTAAACAAGAAGGGAGAAAAACATGTTATTAATAAGGGCAAAGTGTTTAGCTCCTTACATGAGAAGATGATACTTGTAACTCTTGAGAACTGTATCTTTATTACAACATTTGGAAGAGATATACATAGACAGAGGGTATGGATATAAATTGACTTTGATGTGATGATAAAAAACCTAATTAAGGATGAAAAGGGATTATAATGGGAGAAGAGGAAAGGAGGAGGCAGAAAAGGGTAAATTACATCACATGAAGAGATACAAAGACTTGATATGGTAGAGGGAAAGAAGGGAGGGGTATGATCATCATTTGAATTTTACTCTCATTGGATTTGGCTCAAGGAGGGAATAATATACTCAGTTAGGTATAGAAAACTAGCTTGCCCCATAGAGAGTAGGAAGGAAAAGAGGAAAGAAAAGGGAAGGGGGCAAGAGAGGAGGATAGAAGAGAGGGAAGAAGTAGTAAAAGAGAGGAGAACAATAAGGGAGGGGAGCTGATAGAAGGGAGGGAAGATTAAGCGAGGCAGTGGTCAAAAAGAAAACTCAGATGAGGAGGGAAAGGTAGAAAGGAGAAAGAAAAGCATAAATAGGGGGATTAGGATGACACAAAGACACAGATAGTAATCATAACTGTGAATGTGAATGGGATGAACTCCCCAATAAAATAGAAGAGGATAGCAGAATGGATTAAAGAACCATAATCCTACAATTTGTTGTTTACAAGAAACACATATGAGACAGAGAAATACATACAGCACAAAAGTAAAAGGCTGGAGTAGACTATATTATGCTTCAGTTGAAGTAAAAAAAAAAAGCAGGGTTAGCATTCCTGATCTCAGACAAAGTAAAAGTAAAAATAGATCTAATTAAAAGAGATAAGAAAGGAAACTACATCCTGCTAAAAGGCACCATAGACAATGAAGTAATATCATTACTAAACATATATGCACCAAGTGGTATAGCATCCAAATACTTACAGGAAGAAATAGACAGCAAAAGTGCACTGGGGGGGGGGGGACCTCAGCCTCCCCCTGTCAGAACTAGATAAATTTAACCACAAAATAAACAAGAAAGAAGTTGAGGAGGTGAATAGAATTTTAGAAAAGTTAGATATGGTAGACCTCTGGAGAAAACTGAATGGAGATAGAAAGGAATATAGCTTTTTGTCAGTGGTACATGGCACCTACGCCAAAATTGACCACCTAGCAGTGTATACAAACCTCACAATCCAATGCAGAAAAGCAGAAATATTGAATACATCCTTTTCAGACTATGATGCAATAAAAATTATATGTAATAAATGGCCATGGAAAGATAGACTAAAAATTAACTGGAAACTAAATAATCTAATCCTAAAGAGTGAGTGGGTCAAACAAGAAATCATAGAAACAATCAATAATTTCATACAAGAGAATGACAATAATGAGATAACAAACCAAAATTTATGAGATGCAGCAAAAGTTGTTCTAAGGGGAAGTTTTATATCTTTAAATGCTTACATGAATAGAACATAAAAAGAGGAGATCATTGAATTGGGCATGCAACTAAAAAAAAATTAGAAAAAGAACAAATTTAAAATCCTCAATTAAATACCAAAGTAGAAATACTGAAAACCAAAGAAGAGATAAATAAAATTGAAATTAAGAAAACTATTGAACTAATAAATAAAACTAAGAGTTGGTTTTATGGAGAAAAAAACCAATACAATAGATAAACCTTTGGTTAATTTGATTTTAAAAAAAAAGAAAGAAAAAAAACAAATTACCAGTATCAAAAATGAAAGGGTGAATTCGCCACCAATGAAGAGGAAATTAAAATTATTAGGAACTATTTTGCCCAACTGTATGCCAATAAATTTGATGAGCTTAGTGAAATGGATAAATATTTACAAAAGTAAAATATATAAATAACCCCATCTCAGAAAAAGAAATTGAACAAGCCATCAATGAACTCCCTAGGAAAAAATCTCCTGGGCTGAATGGATTTACAAGCAAATTCTATCAAACATTTAAAGAACAATTAATTCCAATATTATATAGACTATTTGGGAAAATAGGCAAAGAAGGAGTCCTACCAAATTCTTTTTATGATACAAATATGGTACTGATACCTAAACTGAGAAAAGTCAAAACAGAGAAAGAAAATTATGGACTAATTTCCCTAATGAATATATATGTAAAAATTTTGAATAAAATATTAGGGAAAAGATGACAGCAACTTATCATAAGAATGATACACTATGACCAGATAGGATTTATACCAGGAACAGAAGGCTGGTTCAATAGTAGGAAAACTATCAGTATAATTGGTCATATCAACAACAAAACTAACAGAAACTATACAATTATCTCAATAGATGCAGAAAAAGCTTTTGACAAAATGCAACACCCATTCCTATTAAAAACACTAAAGGACATAGGAATAAATGGAGCCTTCTTTAAAATGATAAGTAGCATCTACCTAAAACCATCAGCAATCATTATATGTAATGGGGATAAGCTAGAAGCATTTCCAATAAGATCAGGGGTACTTGAAACAATAAACAACTTTAGCAAAATTGCAGGATATGAAATAAAACCACATAAATCATCAGCATTTCTGTATGTTACTAACAAAGCCCAACAGCAAGAGATAAAAAGAGAAATTCCATTTAAAGTTACTGTAGACATAATAAAATATTTGGGAGTCTACCTGCCAAAACAAATCCAGGAACTATATGAACACAATTACAAAACACTTTTCACACAAATAAAGTCAGATCTAAATAACTAGAAAAACATCAGTTGCTCATGGGCATGCCAAGCTAATATAATAAAAATGATAATTCTTCCAAAATTAATTTACTTATTCAGTGACATACCAATCAAACTACCAAAAATTATTTTATAGAACTAGAAAAAATAATATCAAAATTCACCTGGAAGAACAAAAAGTCTAGACTGTCAAAGGAACTAATGAAAAGAAATGCAAGGGAAGGTGGCCTAGTTGTACCAGATCTTAAACTGTATTATAAAGCAGCAATCATCAAAACTACTTGGTTCTGGCTAATAAATAGAGTGGTGGATCAGTGGAATAGGTTAATTACACAAGACATAGTAGTCAATGACTATAGTAATCTCCTATTTGATAAACCCAAAGATCCCAACTTCTGGGATAAGAATTCACCATTTGACAAAAACTGCTGGGAAAACTTGAAAATAATATGGCAGAAACTGAACATAGACAGACATCTTGCACCCTATACCAAAATAATACTAATGCATTGTTGGTGGAATTGTGAATTGATCCAACCATTCTGGAAAGTAATTTGGAACTATACCCAAAGGGCTATAAAAATATGCCTACATTTTGACTGAGCAATACTACTTCTAGGTCTATATCCCAAAGAGATCATAAAAAGGGGAAAAGGACCCACATGCACAAAAATATTTATAGTAGCTCTTTTTGTGGTGGCCAAGAATTGGAAATTGAAGGGATGCCCATCAACTGGGGAATAGCTGAACAAGTTGTGGTATATGAATGTAATGGAATACTATTTTTCCATAAAAAATGAAGAGCAAGCAGACTTCAGAAAAACCTGGAAAATATTGTACACAGTAACAACCACAATGTGCAATGACTAATTTTGATAGACTTATCCCTTCTCAGAAATGCAAAGATCTAAAACGACTCCAAAAGACTCATGATGGAAAATGCTATCCACATCCAAAAAAAAGAACTATGGAGTCTGAATGCTGATCAAAGCATATTATTTGCTCTCTCTCCACCTTTTTTTTTCTTTTTTTTTTTTGTTTGTTTCTTCTTTCTCATGATTTCTCCCATTGGTTCTACTTCTTCTTTACAACATGACTAATATGAAAATAGGTTTAATATGAATGTATATGTAGAACCTATATCAAATTGCACACCATCTTGGGGTGGGAGGAGGGGAGAGACAGGGAGAAAATTTGGAACTTAAAATCTTATGGAAGTGAATTTTTAAAACTAAAAACAAATATTTTTAAAAAAAAATAATATTAAACAGTCTACTTATAATACCAACATTCCTTTTTTAAAAAAATATGCATTGTTAGTGAAACTTTGTGAAAGAGTGGTTTCTTTTGCTTATAGGGTAGAAGAAAGTTTTAAAACATTATTCTGGTCAATATTTGGCTTATCTGAAGTGACCTCGGTGGTGCTGAAGTACAATCACAAGTTCATTGAGAACATTGGCTATGTGCTCTACGGTGTCTATAATGTTACCATGGTGGTCGTGCTTCTCAATATGTTAATAGCCATGATCAACAACTCATATCAGGAAATTGAGGTAAGCCTAGTTAACTGAATTTGCTATCCTTCCTCACTCCCCACCCCCCAAATTTAATTTATGTGTCTGTCTTAGGAAAAGAAAATGATATTAGCACACTTCCTTCTCTATTGGCCTCAGTAGAGAAAAAATAGAAATCATAAATATAGAGACTTGCTTTCCTTAGACACCCATCCTCTTAGATGAATTATTAATATTGAAATTTGTCCTTTGATGGATCCCTTTGATCAAGCCAGAACCCAAGTCTTTCTTGGATTTTAAGACTTCACTATGTGGATTTCTTGTCCATGTGCTTCTAAATGGAAAAAAAAACATTTCTGATGATAACCAGGGTGAGGTCTATGTTAGAAGTACTTTCCATGCCTTCTATAAATTATCCAGAGAGGGATGACTTTTCTAGATACACTGATAATTTCTCTATAGACTTTGACCATCCATACAATGCCAAGATAACTACAGGAAGCCCCCCTGGGACATTCAATGGAATTCCTGCGGAGGATTATGTAAGACAGACAAGAGTTACAAGGATAGAGGAAGCATGGATGGGTTAGAGGGAGTAATCAGTCAATGAGATTCTAGACCTATTGAAATAATGAATGACTTTTGATTTGATTCTTAAATTATAATTGGTTCTATTTGGACATAAATATGTGCACTGAATGTATATCGCCACAGTATGTTAAACTGGAAAAAAAATAACTATCATGTCTGATTCTACCATGGGCCTGATAGCCCATCCATTCAGCAACAACATAGATGAGCAAATTATTATGGTAATTTTCCCTCAAACACCAAAAACAAACCATATATACAATGATGAGGAACTCACAGTGTACTCTCCTTATAGAAGTCATGGGCAAGTCATTTCATATATCTGAACCTCAGTTTACTCAGTTATAAAATAAAACCAAGAAAATACCTCCTACAATGGTACCCTGCCTTGCAAAGTTATCATTGTAAGCTTTAAAACATTATGGAAAGGGGAGATGTAACACAGTAGGACTGTAAGCATGACTATATTAGTTCATCTCTGGATTTGAGAGAGAAAGACATTTTTTCATAGGGACTAACTTAATTATCCTATCTTAAAGTAAAAGCAAAAGGCATTTGCCAGCCAGTGACACAATATTTTTGGCCCCATTTCTCATTATTCTAGATGATACTATAGAACAGAGAAAGTCCAACTAGGAGCTCCCCAACTCTGCAGAACCGCAGACTGACCATGAGTGGATATAAACAAACAACTTAGGAATATTTTACAAACAAATCACAGAATCTTAGTGTTGTAAGGTGCTTCACAGACCATTTAGTTCAATCCATTACTAAAAATGAAACTCTGTAAGAAATGAGAAGAAATAAACCCTGTATGTGTACATATTAACTTTGTTTGAAGACCTTTAACAAGGAAGAAATCATTCCCTTGGGACAAGGCACCAAATTCCACTTTTAGTCACCTCTAGTGGTTAGAAAGTTAATCTTTCCATTAACCCTAAATATAATTCTCTGCAACTTCTACTCATTGAACCTGGCTCTGCCTTCTGGGACCAGCCAGAACAATTCTAATCCTTCTCCCATATAACGTCCCTCCCAATACTTGAAGACAGCTGTCATGCCTCCCTCCCTTTTCCAGACTAAACACCGTTAGTTTTTTCAACTGACTTTCATGTGTCTAGATCTCAAGGTCTTTGACATCTCAGATACCCTCTTCTAAATGCCCTTTTCACCAGTTGTGAGTAAGAAAATCCTATACATACCAGTGAAAAGTAAGCCAGATAAGAATGTAAATCTAGATTGGTATAGTTTCTTTAGTGCTTACACTTATGGATTCACCATTCACTCTGGATATTTCTGTCAATGAGTCCTCTTTTCTCCCTTTGGGAGAAGTGTCGAGACTGACCATCCAACATCAAATATACATTTAGAATTGGATCATGGAATAATGGGTTTGTAGCTTGAAGGAACCTTAGAAGCCATCAAATCCATCCCCCTCATGTTACAAATGAGGAAACTGAGACATGGAGAGATTAAGTACTTTGTCCAGGATTACCCAGCTAGTCAGTGTCTAAGGGGAGATTCAAACCCAGGTCATCCTGACACTAAGTCCAGTGGCCTAGACATTATACCATACTATGTCTCTTGTAAATATAGAGATGAGGACCAGACCTGTGAATTCACTGATATAGGGTCATCCCAGCTGAGTAAACTTCTTCCATCAATGCCCTTTAGTACCTTCTCTTTTAATGATCATGAAATTATTTAGTAGCATGTACTAGTTACACAATATCTATAAAACATTAATAATTCACATTTCTATAGGGCTGTAGAACATTTACTGTGAGAGGCAGATGGCACAATTATTATTCCTGTTATACTGACGAGGAAACAGTCTCAGAGAAAGGAAGAGACCTATACACCCCCATGATCACAAAGCTAACAAGGGGGAAGAGCCAGTGCCTGAGCACACATTCCAACTCTCTTTCCATTATGTTATACTTTACCTTAGTCATGGAATATTCCTCATACGTGGATAATAAGATGATAGATTTGAAGTTGAAGGAGACCCACAGGTCAACTAGTCCAGCTCCCTCATTTTACAAATGAGGAAACTGAGACCCAGGGCAGTAAAATGACTAGTCCAATGTCAGCAATATTTCCCCTCCATCATATTGTCATTTATGTAGTTAATGAGTTCTCCAAAGCAAACCAAACTTGCCTAATTCCCTCAAAAACTAAATGTCAGCTGTTCACTTCCTCTTGAGTGTCACTGTCCTTGAGTTAGTGTCTCTGCCAGAATTAATCATGATGGTTTGCTGAGAGAGGAGCAAATTGTGTTGTGTACATGATGTGTCCATGTGAGCACAAATGAACACAGATAATTATTTGCAATATTGGGTAATTTTAAAAAATTACAAAAAAGAAGTGTTATCAGGAAAGGGACAGATTAAAAATGAAGAGCTCTAAGTTATAGTCTCGTTTAGCCACTTGGTCATCTGTGTACTTTAGTAGTGACCCAGTCTGTTAAATTACAAACTCCTGGAGAGCAAGGACTATTTTTTTCTTCTTTTTATATAACCAGGGCTTAGTATTGTGCCTGGCATATAGTAGGGGCCTAATAAATGTTTACTGAATTTAATCAAATTCAACTTAACACCTCTGGACCTCAGTTTCCTTCTATGTAGAAAGAGGATATTTCCCTAATAATAATAATTCATATTTCTCTGGTACTTTAATGTTTATAAAATACATTCTTCATGGCAACCCACTAAGATGGGTAGTACAAATTTTACATTTTATAGATGAGGAAACTGAGGTTCAGAAAAGTGAAGTGGGAAGACACATGAAATACTTTCTCCATGTGCCACAGTGGGCAATATCTATAGTGTTTTTCACACCAAGGGTAATAGCAGTGTCCCCCAAAATCACCAGACCTGCTTTCAGCCCAGCCGCTACAGCCAGCTTTGAAGAACAGCTTCCTCATACTCATCAGCAATAATTGCTGCCCAACTGCCACCAAGGGGTAGAGGGGCACGAGAGGTCTGGGAATGACAGCACCCCCATCACCACAACCCCACTGCAGCCCATGCTTCTTGCCCAGCTTTCATGGTCATCATTTGGGGAAGCAAGTCACTCCAATGGAGAAGGAGCCAGACATCCCCTCCAATTGACAACCAGCTGCTACTCACAGGACATAGAAGCTTGTCTAGTTGAAGCAGTAAAGTAACCTGAGGGAGAGATAGGAGACAGCATGTGCCTGTCAGGTCAAACCACCATCCCTACCTTGACCACCACCAGTGGTCACCATCACTCAGACCACAATGGACACAGTCCACAACCCTGAGCCCTGAGCCTTTGGAATAGCAGTGTTTTTAGCTCAATGTCCATAGCAATTATCCTCAGAAGCAACTCTTGTGGAGATGCAGCCTAGCAGCACCTACAGGCATTACAGACATGTTTTTGCAGAATCCCCCCAAAAAATATCACCAAAGTTTTTGGCATTGTCAAATGACTCAGCATCAGAAAATTACATTTTTAACAGTGGAAACTGCATTTAAAAAGAGGTATTTCCATCTGCTTTGCCAGCATACCCTAAGAATTGCAGGACCTTTCCGGAAAACTAAAACATTTCACACATGTTGTCTCATTTTGAGAATGTGAACTCTTTGAGAACTTTGACTGTCTTAGTTTTTTTTTTTTTTACTTGTATCCCCAGTCCTTTACACACAGTAAGTGTTAAATAAATGCTTTATTCATCCATTCACTCACCAGGCATAAGACTTGGAGAAGCTACGCAGGATGCTATATTATGCAAGCCACCAGGTGGCACTTTAAGCTTAATAGTCAGCAATACTTCCAGAATCTCCCAACCTCTATAAACTTCCTCTTGCTTCAAGATTCATTTTTATATCTGGCAATATGGATTAATTTCCAGGAAAAAAATTATAACTCCCTTTGATGCATCTGCTCCTCACCTATGGAGTCTCCAGACTTACTTCCTTTTTTGACATAACTACAAAGAAATTACTATCAGCCTATAAGCTAAATGCATTTGCTAAAGAGAAATTCAAAGTAAATTCCAAAAGTATTAAAAAGCAAAGCCGCTAAGTGATAAAGTTTGGTAATGTTTGAATTTCCAATTCCTCTCACCTTGTCTTTTACATGTGATTCACTTTGTTCTTATAGTAGGTACACACATATCCAAAGACTGTTTACCAAGCATTATCCATCTCAAAAATCAAAGGGGGTAGAAACTTCATCACACATTAGAAAACTAATAGTCATCTTATGCTTCCAGTGGTTATCATCTATACCAATGCTGACTATCTGCCTGGCAAATATGGCATCTTGGCTTAGTATCCTGGGTTTCCTTAGGGAAATCCATCCCACCCTACCTCCATGTGAGGCTCCTTCAGGCAGTCTCTTTTTTGTCTCTTCACTCAGCATATAAGCAACAGAAACTTGAGATAAAGGGGAGTGGGGGAAAACAGAGACTGAGAGACAGA